CCTTTTGAGTATATTTTTCCCCTTTCAAAATGAGTAAATAGTCACGTTGTGCACAGGGTTATGTCTAGGGAATGGCCCTCCAAAAGAGACTTTCTGAGATCTCTAGTCATTTAATGCTCTTAGCTGTCCTCCACCAAACAATGTCATAGAGAAAATGCTTCCTAAGCCACCTAAATACTTTTTTTTTAAAGAAAGGTTTATTTGAAAATAAAATGAGGGTGCTTTTTACAGTCGCGCCTCAGTGTTGACAATGAATGTATTCCAAGCACTGGGGCCCTGAGCCCTGGGCCTTGGTGTTTGTTGCTGACAATGAGTGTATTCTGAGCACTAGGGCCCTGAGCCCTGGGCCTCCGGGCATGTGATCTAACTGTCAGATTGCAGTTCTGTTGTATTTATTATATGTTTACTTATAATTACATATATTTATATATTTGTGGTATCTGAAAAGTTGGTGGTGGTCCCAATGATACACAACAAATGTATTTCCAGAGAATAAAGTTTTTATCAGGATAAGATTCCTGTGTACCTCATCTGACAATGTCTGATGTTTGTACTGAAATAGCAAGGACAATGAAAGCCTGGACTTCATTCTTTCTTCTCAGTTCTATTTGCAAACTGAACATTCTTGCCTGAGTTATCTCTCTTTGCCCATACCTTTTCCTACTTAGCTGAGAGAAATCAGGTTTCAGCCTCCTCGGTGGGAGGCTCTTGAGACAAGCCTACAAGATCATTGAGTAGACATTTTTCTGTCTTGTTTTAATACAGGAACAGTTACACAAGTCACTTCATGATGTTTTTCAGGATATATGCTGGGTGACCCCAAAGCCAAATGTATAAATTGCATATTCAGTTGCATCTGTTTCCTGCAAATGACATAATTTCATTCTTCTCTTCCTTGGGGCTGACTAAAGTTCCATTGTGTGTGTGTGTGTGTGTGTGTGTGTGTGTGTGTGTGTGTGTGTGTGTGTGTGTCCTTTATCTATTCTTCTTAGTGGCAATCTAGCCTGATCCCTTTGCTTGGATGCTGTGAACAAACATGAACATGCAAGTATTTCTGTAGCATGTTGACTTCCTCACTCACGTGTAGGCAGAAGTTTCTGTGTCCTGCCATCTATCTGCTGCTCCCAAATAATCACAAAGAAGCTTAATATTAATTATAAATGCTAAGCCAATTCTTATGCTTATGACCAGGAATTCTAGCTGATTTAGAGACTAACTAGAGTATATAACCAGGATTGGTAGTTGAATCATATTATAGTTCTGTTAAGGTATTTTTTGGTGTTTGTGTTGGTGTTTTAGGAAAATACATACTGATTGCCATAGAGGCTATGACAATTTCCATTTCTGCCAAGAGTGTATGAAGGTTTCTCTTTTCCCACATTTTTTTTTTTTTTTTTTTTTTTTTTTTTTGGTTTTTCGAGACAGGGTTTCTCTGTGTAGCTTTGCGCCTTTTCCTGGAATTTCCCACATCTTAACCAGTATTTATTATATTTTCTTGATGATAGCCATTCTTCTTGTGGTGATATGGAATCTTAGTTTTAATTTGCATTTCCTTCATAGCTAAGGATATTGAACACATTTTTTTCTTATATTTATTGGTCACTTGGCTTGTTTTTGAGAACCATGTGCTCAATTTGCTCATTTGAGAACTGAAATTTTTGTTCTTTCGGTCTTTAATTGGATTTGCTAGAAAATGTAAATATTAATTCCTTCAAAACCATAGTTGAAGATTTTCTCTTACTCTGTAGGCTCTCATCACTATGTGTATTGTTTTTTTTTTTCTGTGCTATGCAGAAACTTTGCAACCATGCAATCTCATTTGTCAGTTCTTAGAATTATTGACCGTGGTATTGGAATATTTTTCAGAAACTAACAGTTTCAAAGTTTCAGGTCTTACACTAAGGACTGAGTTGTTGATGTTGAGTTGTTGTTTTTCTTTTTTTTTTGTTGTTGTTGTTATTTTGCTATGTTTTTCCCAGAGAGTAAGACTTTATGGGTCTAGTTTCATTTTTCTTCGTAAGAATACTCAGTTTTTCCAGAACAATTTGTTGAAGAGGCTGTCTTTGTTCCACATATGCTTTTCGAGCACTTTTCTTGGGAATCAAATTAAGTACTTTGAATTATTTCTGGATCCTCCCTTCTATTCCTCTGGTTTATATGCCTATTTTTCAGTATCATACTTTTTTTGTTACTATGTCTCTGTTGCATAGTTTGAAATCAGGTGTTGTGTTAGCAACTGCTTTTGTTTCTTAAAATCTTTTATGCTTCCATGTATATTTTTCAGGGTTATGAATTCTAGTTATTTAAGAATGTCATTAGAAATTTTGATGAGCATTGGATGGAATCTACACATTGTTTCTGTTAGATAATCATTTCAAATATCAATTGTCCCAACCTTGGAGTGAGGTTGGAATTGGAGGGAGCTTCACAATTTCTAATATTTTCTTTAAATACTTTCTTCAATGTTTTAAAGTTTTCATTAAAGGCCATTTACTTCCTGTGGTGACTTAAATGGGAAGGGCCCTACAGATTCATATGTCTGAATGTTTGGTCCCCAGACTGGTAGAACTGATTGATGAGGATTAGGAAGTGTGGCCTTGTTGGAGATATGTCACTGGAGGTAGGCTTTGAGGTTTCAAAAGCTTACACCCTCTCTGTCTCCTGCTTGTTGATCAGATGCAAGCTCTCAGCTACTGCTGTAGCACCATGCTTGCCTGCCTGCCCGCGGTCATACTTCCTGCCATGGTAGTAATGGACTCACCCCCGAAACTGTAAGCAAGCCCCCAATTAAATGCTTTCTTTTATAAGTTGCCTTGGTCAAGATATCTCTTCACAGCAATATAAAATTAACCAAGGCCGGGTGGTGGTGGTGGTGGCGGCGGCGGCGGCGGCGGCGGCGGCGGCGGCGGCGCACGCCTTTAATCCCAGCACTCGGGAGGCAGAGGCAGGCGAATCTCTGTGAGTTCAAGGCCGATCTGGTCTACAAAGCGAGTTCCAGGAAAGGCATAAAGCTACACAGAGAAACCCTGTCTTAAAAAACAAAAAACAAGCCGGGCGGTGGTGGCGCACGCCTTTAATCCCAGCACTTGGGAGGCAGAGGCAGGCGGATCTTTGTGAGTTCAAGGCCAGCCTGGTCTAGATGAGCGAGATCCAGGAAAGGCGCAAAGCTGCACAGAGAAACCCTGTCTCGAAAAACCTAAAAAAAAAAAAAAAAAAAAAAAACAAAAAAAAAAAGTAACCAAGACATTTCCTTTACTAGACTTATTCCTAAGTATTTTGCTGCTTTAAAAAAAAAAGTCTGTCGTGGATTGGATTTGTACTTGATTTCTTTTTATTGGCAAAGTAACTTTTGGTATAAGAAAGTGTTAATTTTTAAAGTGTGTGTCTGTATGTGTAGGACTATGGGTGCCTGAGTGCCAGGGTGCGAATCTGGAGGTGAGAGGAGTTAGTTCTTGCCTTGCACCTCATTGAGGGGGAGGTTTCTCCCTGTTCTTGCAGCCCTGCAGATGCCAGACTAGCTGGCCCATAAACTTCCAGCAGACTCTCCTCACTTCCCCTCCTATATCACCATAACAGTGCAGGAATTTCAGATGCTCACCACTACCTCCAGCCTTTTACTCAAGTCACCAGGCTTACATGGTAAGCTTTACCCACGGAGCCATCCCACCACTTCAGTCTACTGAGCTTTGTGTGCTGATGTTACGTTCTGCTACCTTACTAAAAGTGTTAACAAACTAAAAAATTTTTTTTTCTGGTGAAGCCACTGAGATCTCTTCAGTATAGGATTGTGTCATCTGAAGTACTGATAACATAACTCATTCCTCTCCTATTTGTATATGTTTTTCACTTTTGCTTTCGTCCATTGCCCTAAGACTTTAAACACTGTACTAAATAAGAATGGAGGAGATGGACACCCTTGTCTCATTCCTGATTTTCGTGAGAATGCATTGAGTGTAATGTTGGCTATACAGCACACACACGCGCGCGCGCGCGCACACACACACACACACACGCACACACACACGCACACACATACATACATACATTTAGAAAACTGCATTTATTCTTTTAGTTGGAAAAATTAACTCATACAGACAAAACTTCAGTCACCTTGGAGAAAAAGACCACCTTCACATCCCATTCCATCTATCAGAACAGGTGGCTCCTCTGGGGGGGCACTGTGACTTAGACCCAGACACGGCACACCAGGTGAGAAAGGCTAGGCCGCCTTCAAAGTCTCATTGCCTTAGATGTGAAACCAGATTCCTATTTACTTAGCTCAGTTCTGGAAAGGGGTACTGGATGTGAAGGGCTAAAAGGGGGGAGATGTGGCTCTATTTTATCAGAGAAAGTAAAAGTGGAAATTTTTAAAAATTAATTTTTCCATTTGATTTATTTCCAAATTCTTTCATTCAACCACTTGCTGTGGGAATTACAAATATCGGTATTAGGGAATCCAATTATACCAAAAATGTCACGTCTAGTCTGGAGTAGATGTTCTGATTCCTGTACTATACATTAAATGGCACTAATCACACACTAACTGTAAGATAACCAACATGAAATCACAGATCGGTTAGTGTACCGCAGCTGCGTGGAGAAAGGTTTGAACAAAAGTAAAGATGGCAAAGTTGTGATGCAGTAAAGTCTGAACTGGTGACTCAGAACTCTTCACAGCTGACAGATGATAGGTTGGGCACTTCAGAAAGTAGTTACAGTCTACTAACAAAGTTGCCATTTCTCTTTCTAGAAATAGTAAATTCTTCAACTAGTGCCTGGTGTTTCAGGTGGAATGTAAAATGGGCTGTTAAGAATCAGGATACTGGCAAGTCGGACAGATTGGACATGTTTAGTAATCATGGTTGCCTTCTAAACACTTGTAGCAAGATGACTTCTGATTTGTAATCTTGGGCATATAAATAAACAAAAAGGCTAGCACAATAAGTTTAGTAAACAGCACTTGAAAATTAACTGCACCAGGGCTTTACTTGCACTAAGCTTCACAAGAGGAAGCATCCAGGCTTTTTCTTCCTTCGATTCGTTTGCAGAGCAGCCCTTGTGGCCATTTCAAAGACCATCCTCACTCCATCTTTGGTCTTTGCAGAACACTCCACGTACCCGAAAGCGCCTATGATGTTTGCCAAATCTCGGCCTTGTTCAAGTTTTATCGGCTCTTGCTTCCTCTTGGCTAACTCTTGTCTTGTCTGCTTGTCATTCCGAAGATCCTTCTTGCTCCCAACCAGGATGATGGGCACGTTGGGACAGAAATGCTTGATTTCTGGAGTCCATTTCTGCGGGATGTTCCCAAAGCTATCAGGGCTGCCAATGGAGAAACACACCAGGAGGACATCAGTGTCGGGATAGGAGAGCGGCCTCAGGCGATCATAATCTTCTTGTCCAGCTGTGTCCCACAGGGCCAATTCCACCTGTTTTCCATCCACTTCGATATCGGCCACGTAGTTCTCAAACACCGTGGGCACGTAAACGTCAGGAAACTGGTCCTTGCTGAAGACGATGAGCAAGCACGTCTTTCCACAAGCCCCATCGCCCACGATCACCAGTTTTTTCCGGATGGATGCCATTGCTTAGGATGTTTCTGGTGCTGTACAAAAGCACCCGGGACTTCTCAGACCGCAGGCCCTCAGACTACACCGATGACTACGGAGGAGGATGCCTGTCCAGAGTCACCACCTCTGAGGCGCAGCTCAGCAGGAGGTGGTAGACTCAGGAGAGAACCAACTGAAGAAGGTGTTGGAAGGCAGGTGGTGGAGGGAGGGGGGCACGCATGCGCATGAGTGTCCAGCTTGGCTCGAGCCTGGCAGCTCCACACACCCTCACACTTTCACAGTTCAAGAGGATTGCTCAAGAGAGATCTTCTCCCCAGAGAAAGCAAGGTACTTTAGCCATTGTCACACCCACGTGGGACATGATGAGAATTCTCGAGGTATATTCTTTCTGTTACTTTCTCCAGGATGATCTCCTCATAAAGCATGCTAAATTTTCCCAAAGGCCTTCGTTCGAGTTGATTGTGTGATTTCTATCCTTAAATCGATTTAAATGCTATTGACCCATCCTTGTATCCTTGGAATGAAACCTACGTGGCTCACAGTTCGTGATAATTCATTTTAATAGGCCATTGAATTCAACTTGCAAGCATTTTATTGAGGATATTTGCATCTGTGTCCATCAAGGAAATTGATGGATGGGTTTCTTTGTTACGTCCTTAACCTAGTTTTGGTATCAGGGTACTGTTGGTTTCATAGTAGTGTTCCTTTCCTTTCTATTTCATAAAACAATTGAGGAGGCATGGAGTTAACTCTTTTTTAACCGTTTGGAAGAATTCAGCAGGGAATCCCTCCAGGCCTGGGCTTTTCTTTGTTGGAAGGCTCGTCATTACTGCTGCAATCCTATTCCTTTTGTGCTTCTCTCTAACTTGCTCATGTCTTAATTTTAGTAGGTGATTTGTGCATAGAAACTTACCCACTTACTTTAGATTTTCCATTAAAAACATGTTTTCTGAATGATCCCCAATGAGTCTCGAAATTTCATTGGAATCCACTATAGTATACCCATATTCATCTCTAGGGTTTTTTTTTTTATTAATTTTGTTTTCTCTTTCTTTTAGCTAATTTTGTTAATATTTTGTCATTCTTGTTTATCTTTTCAAAGAACCAATTCCTAGTTTCATTGATTCTTCACATTGCTTTTTAGTCACTATTTTTTCCCAGTCTCTGCCTTGGTCTTCATTCTTTCTTTCCTTTCTTTGACTTTAGGTTTGGCTTGTTTTCCTACAACCTTGAGCCACATCATTAAGTTATTTGAAATTTTTCTGACACTTTAGTGTCAGAAAATGTATATAAGCACTCAGCTGTATATATGTGTATATATATATATATATATATATATATATATATATATATATGTATATGTATATCTTAGAACTGTGTTGCTGTATGCCAAGTTTTGATTTCATTCTGGTAACTTCCAAATTATTTCTCTAAAACTGAAGTTACTAATAGCTGAGTAATAAAAAAATAGAAAGGGAAGGTGAAGGTGAAGAGAAGAAAGAGAGGAAATGTTCAAGTGATGAAATGTTAGAAACAATGGGGGAGAACACAATAAACACAGAAAATAGGAATGATAATAATAAGTAAGATGGGATAGCAATGCTATTTTTTTCTTTTAAGCTTTTGCTTGTTTGTTTGTTTTCAATTCACTTGGTGGTGGTGGTGGTGGTGGTGGTGCAGCCATTTTCCAAAATCCAAATAAATGAGTCCGAAAAGAGAGGGCTACATGCAGGCTGAGCCTTTCTTTCTGGGGGCCTGGGCAGAATTTCTGCCAAGGTTTTTGTGTATATAAGGCTTGGAAATTCAAGAAATGTCTTATCCCCATCTCATACTGCCACACACATCAGCATGTCCCATTATAGATGTTCTGCCTGTGTAGGTGTGATGTGGGAGAGCTTTCCAGGCCTTTCAGAGAACACAGAACACTCAGACTAAAGCAGCCTGCCCTTGCAGCGCAGGGCCCAGGACAATCTTGTGATTCTGATTTCTCTGCTGTCATTGTTCTGCCCTAGAGCACCTGCTGGTCTCTTCTCTCTCCTCTTACAAGCACCCACTGCAGCCTAACGATGCCTGGCTTTGCGTTTCAGCATGATTACACTTCCCACCCAAGTAGATCAGTGTCCATGGATCTGAATGTGAGTTACACTGGCTCCTCACTTGTCCTTTCTTAATCATTTGTTTCTCCAGTGGAGGGGTGGGGGAGAACTGAGGCTTGAAATCCCCAGTGTTCTTGTATCTAAGCGCTTATTGTTCCCTCTTAGCTTCTGCAAATGGAACAGCTCAGCCATTTCTGCCTCTTGTCTCTGACTCAGTTTTCTTATTGTTAAGGATTAACTTTGTTTTCTTTATTTCTCCACCAATAGATATTAGATTTGCATCTGGCTATCTGTTGGAAATAGTGCTGTCTTGAAAGGGTCATAGATAGTCCTTCAAGATCTCATTTCCATTTCTTTTGTATTATTATTGTTTGAATGGTTTTTCCTTTGAAACTCCTGTAGAAATGTAATTGCCGTTGACCATGTTAAGAGGGGGACTACTGAGGAGATGACTAGGGCATGGAGTCTCTGCACTAATAAATAGTGGCATTGTTGTGAGACAGATCTCTTTTTTTCTAATTCATCACCTTTTCTGCACTCCATCATAACAGTGTAAGAATGTCCTCCCAGATACCACTAACTTAAACTTGGCATTCCACACCTGCAAAACCAGAAGAAACAAATTTCCATTCACTATAAATTGCTCACTCTCAGGTATTTTTTACAGTACAAAATAAGAGTTAGATAGTTATATACTCTGAAACGAGATCATGAATCATGCAGTAATTTTCTTTTTCACGGTTTTGGGAATACCCATACAATCTTCTATGGTAGATATATTATCTTTTCTACTGTACAGGAATTCCAATTTCTCTACATCTTCACCAGTATTTGTTATTTTCTATTTTCTTTCCTTTTTAATGATGGCAACCCTAACTGGTATGACTATACCTTACTGTGGTATTGATTTGAATTTCTTCATGATTAGTAATACTGAGCATCTTTTTGTGTGCTTATTGGTTTTGAATCTTCTTTGGAAATATATGTCCTCAAGATTTTTGCCCATTTTTTAGTTGGAATATTTTCTATTCTTATTAATTGTAAGAGAATTTATATATGTATTATGATGTTGACTCCATATTCAGACTGTAGGCTCCTCTTTCTCTTTACTTCCTTTGCTGTGTAGTTTGTATTTTGATGTGGTTTCATTTGTCTATTTTTCCTTTGGTTGCCTGAATTTTTGGTATCAATGTCAAGAAAAGAAATCATTGCCAATTCCAGTGACCAAGATTTCCATGTATGTTTTCTTATCACATTATTGTTTAGGTACCATGTGTAGGTCTTTAATTTGTTGTGTGGTCTCTTCATGGGGAAACATGAACCAAGCATCTTCTCATCCCAGACAAGGTGCCACTACAGAAGGAAAGGAATGATTCCACACAAGTCTAAGATGGAGAAACAACTATAGTTGTTACTGTAGTAACTGAATTATAGTTACTTACAAAAGTGTGGGCGAGGTGTTACTTACAGAAGCAGGAGCCACCGCACAACTACAGAATCATGGGCAGCTATATCACCAAAGGAAAAATGTCTCTTTCCATACAGCAACAGCAAACTCTCTCTATATCTTTAGGGATGGGTATGGCCAGCTGAGCACTCTCCTCTGGTAACCATTAACTGTAAATCCTTGGATAAGGTCAGATCCTCATGAGCCCCTTCCTCGTTCCCCTGATGGAAAGTTAATGGATCCAATCCCACACATTCCTCCTTTAGTCAATGTGTAACTTAAGGTTTCTATCGCTGTGATGAAACAGCATTACTAAGGCAGCTTTGGGAGGGAAGGGTTTATTTTGTTTACATTTCCATGTCACAGTTCATCACTGAAAGAAGTTAAGCCAGGAACCAGGAGACAGGAGCTGATGCAGAGTCCATAGAGGAGTGTTGCTTACTGGATTGATCCTTATGGATTGTTCTGCCTGCTTTCTTATAGAACTCAGGACCACCAGCCCAAAAGTGGCACCACTCACAATGGGCTAGCCCCTCCCACATCAATCATTAATTAAGTTTGTCTACAGCCCCATCCTGTGGAGGCATTTTCTCAATTCCCTCCTCTTGGATAACTAGCTTGTGTCAAGCAGACATAAAACGACCCTGCACAGCTAATCCTAGCTGCTCACAGTTCAGGAGGGCAGCAGCCATACTATGCCCACAGGGAAGCAATTTACAACACCTCACTCTGTAGGAGGCCCTGAGTGAGTGGTGTTCTCAGTGACTATGTGCTGTTGACATGACTGTGGCCATGTCAAGGCCTCATAACCGTGGGAACATGTAAAAACCTTCCCTGGGCTAGGCTCAAAGAAATTGGTGTGTGCAGAAAATGTCCACCACCCCAGCTTTCTCCTCTTGGATGTTTATGGCCTGAAGTCTGTTCCCCTATGGAGATTGCGCCTAGTGAAATTAGCTAAACACCTGTCTCTTTGATCCAGCCATATACCATAAATCCTCCTTTATCTATATGGAATGTAATTTCTATATTCCTTGTTTATCTATATGGAATAACCTCACCTCTTGTTCAGCAGCATGCAATAGCCTGCCTCTCTGTTCAACTGTATATAATGAACACACTGAGCATCTGGGATGCTGTGACTTCTCCATCAAAGAGACAAGTTCACCCAACCCCAGCTTTTCTGTATTTTTCACTTTCTTTTTTCTCTGCCCTTAGTCTTGCTTGTCCCTGGAGCTATGTAAAGACCTGGTACCACATCTTCCTCCTGGCTATTATGTTCTTTCTGCCTCCCCTTTCCATGATGCTCTCTGTGCCTTAGAGAATGTAATATAGATGTATCAATTAGGGCTGAGAATTCACCTTATTCTAAGCACCTTGGGCAGTGATGAGTCTCTGCAGAAAGTACTACCTACTGTAAAGATAAATTTCTCTGACCAACAATGACATCAGCAATAAGCTATAGATTTAAGCATAAGTATTTAGAAAGCAATTTGACAGACATCATGTTCATGTATCAAAACAATAGCAGTAGCCTCTCTACTGGGACCTACAGTCTCCAGAGCCACTAAGTTTACAGTACCAGATGTGGATTTCTTCCTGGGGAGTGGGTCTTATATCCAGTCAGAAAGTCATTGGTTATACCAAGAGTAGCTGTGCCACGATTGCACTAGTGGGCACATCCTGCCTGGCATGCTGATA